TCTTTTTTTTTTCTTTCTTTCTTTTTTTTTTTTTGGTTTGGTTTTTTCGAGACAGGGTTTCTCTGTGTAGCTTTGCGCCTTTCCTGGAACTCATTTTGGAAACCAGGCTGGCCTCAAAGAGAGATCCGCCTGCCTCTGCCTTCCGAGTGCTGGGATTAAATGTGTGTGCCGCCGCCGCCGCCAGGCAAAAACAAATATTTTTTCTTTTTGAGACAGGATTTCTCTGTGTAGACCTGGCTGTCCTGGAACTTTGTAGACTAGGCTGGTCTCAAACTCAGATCCTCTAGCCTCTGCCTCCTGGTGCTGAGATTAAAGGTGTGCATCACCACTACCCAGCAAAAATAAATCTTTTTAGAAGCCGCTCCCACTGTTCTGTGTCTCCATCTAGACCCTGACTAGATGACCTTGTCTAGGCCAAGCTTCTCTCTGGGTCTCTGTCTCAGCCTTGTCTTTGACCACAGAACAGAAAAGAGAAAGCTTTCTTAGAGAGAGTTGGGAGGTGTACCAGGGGATTTCCCCCCCTCAAAGCAGAGTTTATCCGTGCAGCTCTGGCTGTCCTGAAACTCACTCTGTAGACCAGACTGGCCTCCAACTCAGGCATCCTCCTGCCTCTGCCTTTCAACTATTGGGATTAAAGGTGAGTGCTACCTTGGCCCCGCATGATGAACAGATTCTTATCTGTGGGCCTTAGGTAGTTCCTACAACTGAGCTGGACTTGGGCATGTCTTGGGATCCTAGGGAAGGGCCTGAGCAGAGGGTCTCTGGAGTCCCCTTACTGTCTCACATGGCGTAGCCCACCCTTGCAGGACCTGGGCCTGCTCAGTCTCTGCTCCCATCCTGTGCTCCCTGGTTTTTGCCTGTGACCAATGAGCTTCTGTCACACTCACACCTGCGCTCATGGCTCATGCTGCAGGTTCAGCTGGGAATGTGCTGTCCTCTTCAGCGGCTCACTCCTATCGGTCCAGAATCTGGTTCAAGAGGCACATTGAGATGCAGGAGCTGCAGTGAGGTGAGGGTTTGCAGTGAAGCCCATGGTGATATTTTATTTGTACTAAAATGTTATTTGTATGTTAATAAATAAAGTTGCCCGGGAGTCAGAGTTATTAGCAAGCCATAGGAAAGCTGGGCGGTGGTGACGCACGCCTTTAATCCCAGCACTTGGTAGGCAGAGCTAGGTAGATCTCTGTGTGTTCAAGGATACAACCAGCATTAGAGACACACACCTTTAATCTCAATACCAACGATAGAAGATCTGATAAGGCGGTCATGTAGTTGGGTTTACAACCAATGAGAAGGCAGAACAGAAAGTCTTTATAAAGACAAAAACACAGGAAGTAGCTCTGGTTCGGAGAGGTAGGACCACTGCAGGAGGAAGGGTAAGGTTTTAGCTCTTAGCTCTGACCTCTTGGCTTTCTTCTTTGCATTGGTTCTGTGTTTCTTATTTAATAAGACGGCTGGTTCCATCTACAGAAGCCCAGTCAGCCCTTACTGAGAAACTTGAGCTGGGGTTCCTTTTGCTTCACATACACTGAGAGCTGCAGAGCGGAAGAAAGACGCCCAGGCGTCGTGCTGGCCAGACGGGGAAAAGCAGGTCATCTGTGAGCTCGGAGAAGGAGCCAGAGAAGCCAGTGCGCCCCAGGAGAAAGGTGTCCTCCAGCCTGCAGCTACCACCCCGAGAGGCACGAGAAAGGTGTCCTTTGGCCTGCAGCTACCACCCCGAGAGGCATGCATTTGAACCTCCACAGATCTGACTCCTGACTCCA